CTAATTAACCCTAACTTTCCATGAGACTTACTGTTTTGTTTTTGACTTTGTCTACTTACAGATCACTGCCCATGGGTTTTGCAAGCCAACAATGGAACAATATTGGTTTAAATTAGCAAATGTATGCCTGGGTGCTAAGAACAACAAAAAAAGAAGTATTGAGGGGTGACTGATAATTACTGGCATCCTTCATGGATTCTTTAAAATAGCTTGAGTATTTACAAGGCCTAGATTGTAAAAATTAAAGAGATTTTATCTGAGTTTGCTGCTGTGAATGTTGTCTACATAATTTATTGTGGACATGTTTGCTATTTAAATTCTGGATTTACTGACTGGTGTAATATAGGATTCAGAAATTTTGCTTCCTATTAAGAAAAAGTCCTGGTAACTTCGAGAAGAGGGAGCTCCAGGTGGAGTCTGGTAAGACTTGCTCCTGAAGCCTGCACAGACCAGATTTCGAGAGCCCACTCTGATCCCAGAGGGAGAATTCCAACAAAGCCAACTAAAACTGCTGTCTGGTACTGTGTCCTGTGACTTTATGCAAAAATAGGTAAATGGGCTGCAAGTATTACAGGTGAGAGGGACACCACTGAACCCCCAAACCGCTCTAAATAGTTTCTGCCATCAGCGGCATCAAGACAAAACATAAGACCTTTAATGGAAAGACACTTTAATACAATCAGTATGTAATACAGAAAAGACAAAGAATATAGTTTCTAAATCAAACACTCGAAGTTACCTGTTCCCTCATGGGTAAAAGTCCACCCAAAAGGGATTGGCCCAAAGCAAGGCCTGAAAGCCCATCACAAGCTTAAAGCACCTTCTGGCCGGGACCCATAGAAAAGAGTCAGAAATGGCCAGACAAGTCTGGGAGGAAAAGAGCAAAATTAAAATCAAGATAAATGCTGCCATAGTGAACCTCCCCACAGGGCTCTCACCCACATCTGTTTCACCAGCACAGGGCCGAGAAACAAGAGCAAACAAGGTGAAATTCTTCACCTTTCCCACGCGGCTCCCTCAGGTCACCTTCTGGCTCTCCACCTTGTTTCCCTCCTCCTCAGCCTCCTCTCCAGATTATTTTTCTTCTCTACTCAGCTCCACCCTCCTTCTGGGTGGGGCAGGGAACCTGGAACCTCCCCTTTTCATGGGGACCACCCTATTATAGGAAGACACATACGAAGACAATAAATACTCTGTCGCCTAAGCCTGCAGGTGCTAATAAAGAACTTCCTTTCTCCTTTCTGAATGCTGCCTGGTTTCCTGAGGGACTGTGCAGTAACAGTCAGAACACCCAATTCAGCAGATGAAGCCAGAGAGGGGAGTAGGCTTGCTAAGATCGCACACTTTCGGTTAACATCTTCCTTGTCTCTACCTTTCCTGATTTTCACTATCTCTAGCTACCTCTGGTCTGGCCCCTAAATTTTGCTTTCTTTCCATGTCTTCTGTTCTGTCGTTGGGCTCAGTGGTGGAGGTCTTTTCCAAGAAGGGACTCCATTCTTTGGATTTCTGAATTATTCAGCATGCAGATGGGAACTAGGGGGGCTGTGGCAGGTTCTGAGGACCCAGGACTTGCATTCTACTTTGCCCAGCTGACTGCCTCAGAGTCAAGCAAGTGAGAATAGAGACAAATGAGCAAAACTTTGGCCCCTGGAAACTGCTCCTTCCGGATCCTTCCTGGACTGGGACAGAACTGAGGAGATAAATGGCCAGTCTCACTTCCCTTTACTTGCAACAGTCCAGAGCTACTTTTCTTTACCAGTTGGTGCTTTTTCTTGCAAGTTATTCTAAGACTTAGTTACTTATGCGTACAAGAACTGTGGTACAGGCCAGAGATGCAGGAGCGGGGTGGGTGAGAGGATTCCAGAGACAGAGTGAGGAGAAGAACAGATTGACAAGTACACTGCTGAGGGGAGCAGCAGGTGGGACAGGAGAGGTCTGCTGTGCCATGTGGGTCCACCTCCCTGGCTGGGGATCAAACTTATGCTGCAGTGGTTGCAGATTGCTTCATAGTGCTGCGCTTTAACTCCTTGAGCCACCAGGGAGGGCCTGCTTCTCAAGTTTAGACAATTAAGACTTTGTGAGAACTGATAGAGACCTGAAAGGGGACAGCTACCCACTTGGCAGGAGGTGGGACTAGCGCCTCATGCTGTAACTCCAGTCATCCAGCAGGGGGAGCCCTGTCCTGATAAAAGGCTAGTCCCTGTTTCCTGTTGCCCTTCAGAGTCAAGGAGACCTGGATCCCCCTGAAGCGCGTTGGGGTTAGTCTGTGGTTACAGCCGCCAGGAGGAGTCTCTCAGGGGTCATAATAACACTGCTTAGAATCTGATGTTCTGTTTAGGAAAAGTAGAACAATGAGAAGGTGTAACCCTGATGTCCTTGAATTGAAAGTCTGTAAATATGACCTTATAGAGAGGGGCGTGGGGGCGTAGGAGAGGGATTGAGGGAGAGAAAGACACACCGAAAAAGGTGTCTAGGAAATATGGTATCAGAAGAGACATACATTGGAAACCCAAACTGACCCTCTCAAAGGAAAATACTTATTAGCCTTCTTTGTGACACTGATATAGACTGATATTTAATCTCAAATTTGCCAACAATTTGTGAGTAGCACCCATTTACTTATCATTTATAGATACCAACCCCTCACTTAAGGGAAGCGGGTTATGCAGAGGTTGCTAAGGAACGAGGGGAGATGCAGTTGGTACTGGCAGGGGTTGCTTAGTAACCAGACTCCCTTGGTGATGGAGTGGCCAGGGCAGGTCTGGAACTGATGAGGCCCCGCTTATCCTCCTGAAAGCACATGCCTGTTGGATTCTTTGCTCAGAACTGCCAAGGCCTGCCTCTCCTGGACAACCTGCCAAGCTGCCACTCTTCCATGTGGAAAGTACACCCCAAGCCCTGAGCATGCTTGGAGACCCCTTGCTCCCCACCCTCTTCCCTCCACAGGAAGCTGATCAGATTTTGGGATTCAGAGATGAGTAGGCTCCTGAGTAAGCAAATGGGAATCTCACACTGGGGGAAACGGGAGCCCGTGGCTCACATTGATGTGGACCCAGGACTTTGGATAAAAGAGGGTCCCCTAGACAAGCATCTCTACTGTTTTCCCAGTTCTTCACTGGGTCCACATCAATTTCACAGTTCTTCATCTGAGTCTTCCTTGCCAGGTCTCACCTTTCACATACTTGTGGTGGACACCCCTCTCCTCCCATCCCTGAGGAAGAGGTCCTGAGACCATGGTCACCACACTCACACCACAGCCTGGCTTGGGGTTGCTTTGACTGGTCCAGGCTCCTCATAGCCTCCTTCACTGCAGCACAGTCTGGGGGAGACACTGAAGTCATTTGGAGCCATAGTCTGCTTAGTCAGTCATGACATGAGTCATGTTCTTTGTACCCCAAGCACAGAGGTGTCCCTCTTCTCTCCCAGACACCCTGGACACTCACACCCCTCTGCTCCTCCTCTCTGTCTGCTGAGAATAGAGCACCTGTCCTGCTGTGTGCCCCTTCAGGACTCTGCTCCACGTCCTGTGTGCCTACCACTTTGCCGGTGCTGACGCTCCCCAGCAGGTAGAATGAGCTGGCACCCACGGTCTTCTACATCCTGACCTAGTACCCTGTGTCTCAGGCCCTGCAGGGTTCCAGATTTGAGGAAATCAAGTGGAGACGCCCCTAAGGGGGTGGTTGACCTGCTGCTGCTTCTCTACCCTGGCAGGCTGCTTGTGGGAAATCCTTTATGACCTGAGTGTTTCACATAAAGAACTTGTTTTAAAACATTCTTGGTACAGAATGCAGCTGAGAGAGAATAGAGAAACTGGCAAGTTTGTTTCTGAGGACAGGGAAGCTTAGTTTCTGAACTGATTTTGAACTTTGAATTGTTTGAATTTTAAAAATTTACCATGACAAGTCATCTCTACTTTTAAACATTTTTTTACTGTCTAGTATAACATATACATAAAAAGTATATATACCACGCATATACACACGTACATATTCATGTATGTACATACATGATATATATAATCTTAATGGACAATATGTAGCTATTAATCAGTCATAAAATAGAACATCTCTAGCATGCCAGAAGCCCCTCAGACGGCCCCATTTCCAACCATAATCCCCTTTTTACTCTAGAAATACCCACTCTCCTGACTTTTGTGATAACCACTGTAGTTTTATCATCTGTTTGCAACTTTAAACATTAGAATTATTTTGTCTGTTTTTGAAACTTGTGTATGTAGAATCACATATTCTTTGATGTCTGGCTTCATTTCTCCAATGATCTTTGAAGATTCATGAATGCTATTCAAATATAGCTTCAGTGCATTAATTTTCATTGCTGCATAATATTCCAACATAGAAATGCTACACCATTTGCTTCTCTGCTTTACCATTAGTGGACATTTAGGCTTGCTTTCAGTTTGAAGCTGTTACAAAGAATGCTGCTGTAAAGACTCTTCCTTGAGTGTGAAACTATAGAGTCAGACAGCTGTGGGCTGCTTCCAGGATAGTGCTAAACCATCTTCCAAAGTGGTTGTGCTTACACTTTCTCCAGCAATGAATAGTATCGGTTGATATATTAATAATTGGTATAATTATTTGCTTGCTGTCTGGCATCCTCACTCTACTGGGGAGGTTCTTGTGGGGAGGGTGGGGGCTGGGTGTCTGGGGTCAGAGTTCACCATGGTGTCAGTATCTGTTATCAGTTGCCTGACATGTTGTAAGTGCTCAGGGCACACTCATGGAATGAAGGGGAAAATAACCCTGTCTGTGAGTACTGGGTCTCACATTCCTAATGTGTCTTTCTATAAACAGATAATTTCCCAAGGCAGTTTTTCTGACCTGAGGCTCATGCTGTTGAAATTCACCCTGATTTACTTGACTCTCTTCCACTCTGGGACGCTGGCCTTGACGGTCTGAAGGAGTTGGGGATGGATTACCATCATAATCACTTCAGGCCTCAGTGATAAGTGAAGTCAATTCTTCCTCCAGGGTCAAGTTCAGCAGGAAGCAGACCAGACACCGCTGCCATGCTCCGAGCAGTGGCCTGTGTTCCCGGAGGCCTGTTTCACTCCTGCAGAGCTCTGTCAGTACGGATGAGCAGCAGTGGAATACAACAAAAGGGTGTCCTCGCCAATCGGGTAGCCGTGGTCACCGGGGCCACTGATGGGTGAGTGCGGGGGCTTGACTGGCCCCCATAGGGGGGAGGAAGTGGAGTAAAGAGCAGGACACAAGCTTGTTGATTTCTAGGGCGAGGTTGAGGAAGAATGGTGGTGAGGGGCTATTTTCTTCCTTCCATCTTTTCCTGCAGGATCGGCTTCGCCATCGCCCGGCGCCTGGCCCAGGACGGGGCCCACGTGGTGGTCAGCAGCCGGAAGCAGCAGAACGTGGACCGGGCAGTGGCGGTGCTGCAGGGGGAGGGGCTGAGCGTGACGGGCACCGTGTGCCACGTGGGGAAGGCGGAGGACCGGGAGCGGCTGGTGGCCACGGTGAGGGGCCAGGGTGGCAGGACGCAGGGAAGACAACACACAGAACCTACCCTCCCCCCCCAGCCCTGGGAGGGGGAGGGGCAGGGGTTGGGGTGGAAGCGGGGAGGCCTAGAACATAGCTTGAGACCATGTTGCACGGTCTAGCTGAGTAGACCACATGGTTCACACTGACTGGAAAGTGAGCTGTTCATGGAGGACCCTCGCCCCCATCCCACACCTGGGATAGCTATGACTGAGGAGCATCTTAAAGGGGTTTCCCTATCCCGAGCAAGCTCCCAGAGGGATTCCTGGAGAAGACTGTCCTCATGAGACCTTCAGCAGCAGCAGACCTGCCTTTGGGTCTGTCTCAGACACTTGACCTTCAACCAGTCCTGCTGAGACGGGACCTAACCCCTGAACTTCGCCTCCGAGCCCTGTGTACCCAGCTGCCCCGGGAGGGCAGAGCCGCCTCAGGCACCTCCATACTCACCCATCCTTCATATTCCCTCCCTCCCCAGGTCCAGGAGCACTGTGGGGGTGCCGATTTCCTGGTGTGCAATGCTGCAGTCAACCCCCTGGTGGGGAGCACTCTGGGGGCTGATGTTGGGGTATGGGACAAGGTGAGCCACAGGGAACGTGTCGAAGGGTCTGAAGTACCAGCTCTGCCCTGGGTTCCACCCCCACACCTCTGCCCACGTGGCCACTTCAAGGACAGGCACTGGGTGACGGCCAGGCAACTTGTCCCCTGAATGCGCCGTGATGTCACCTTCTGGCTTGTGTGTTTCCAAGCTGCGTCTTACACTTCGCTCCTTTCTTTTCTTTCCTGTCCCTTGTGCATTTATGTGTTCAGCGAATATTTAGTGAGGGCTTGCTTTGTGCCAGGCACTGCTCCAAACTCTGGGGAAAAGGTCTCTGTTCTTGGGAGGAGTTAAGAGTAGTAAGGTGCCTGTTCTCTGTCAACAGTTTTTCCATCCAGAGACAGAACGGGGAGCAGAACAGGCAGATCGACGAAGTACACTGCTGAGGGGAGCAGCGGGCGGTCAGGAGAGGTCTGCCACGCCATGTGGTCACCCCCGGGGCAGGCGGGGATCGAACTCATGCAGAAGTGGCTTTAGCTTCTCAGTGCTGTGCTTTAACCCACTGCACCACCAGGGAGGACCCTCCCCCCTTTCTTAAATTAGGGCTCTCTGCTGTCTCTCAGATGAACCTGCTGCACCCACTGTACCCACCTCCCAGCTCTCTGTAGGCCTGGGCTTCCAGTCTGGTACCAGTGCCCTCAGCAGCCCTGCCACCTGGTCCGTGAGAGACCGAGTCAAATGCCTGGAGGTCCATCTCAGGCTCTCCTAAGATGCCTGTTCCGTTCACGCCTGTGTTTTGTTCCCTAGCTCCTCTGACAGACAGAAGGACGGGTGGCGTCTACTGCTGGCCTCCCCTCTAGTCCAAGCACTGGGTGAAGCTGTTGCCCCGGCTTCCTGCACTCCGCCAGCACCCTCAGGCCCCTCCTGAGTATCCACCTTGGCAGGCTGCCCTTCCCAGCATCCTCAGAGCTGACCTGAAATCTGAGCTCCTTGCAGCTACTGCAGAAGCCTCCCCAGGCTCTTAGCGGCATCCTTAATGCCTCCGGAGGACTATGTGTGATTAGGTCGCTGGGATTTCATTACCGGTAGTCTTCTAACTGTCCTGAGACGTTTTCCCTTTTAGTGTCTCACTCCATGGGATTATGACTCTTTTTCTTGGAACTGGTTGGAATCACCCCTCCCACCCCCCACCCCCCAAACTGGATGTCCTTGCCACAGCCCCACCTTACTTTCTCTGCCCCTCCTCTGTTCTCCAAGGTCTTGCATCCTTACTAGCAATTCTCCATGTTGCATAGAAATCACCCCTAGCCCCACTTCCCCCACGTGGAACATGAAACGGTCACAACGCAAGTTTAGAATCTGCTCAGTGCTTTGCTATGAACTGAGTGCAATATTTGGTGGGTGTCCTGGGAGGAAATTCACGCTCACTCATCTTACCCTTGGGCCAGTCGGTGCCCTCCTAGGGCAGGACCCATTCCGTTCAGCTGGTTCTCTCCCTCCCTCCCCGCCCCCCTTCTTTCTCCTGTGAGGGCTCTCTGCAGCACCCTCCTCAGCTTCACCATCCCCACTCTTTCTTTCCTGATTGGGCAGTTTTCTTCAGCAAGGGAGAGACTTGCCTTTTCGGGTTCATATTAAGTCCCCTCATCCAAGAGGGGTTCATCTCAGCCCACTATCCAGTCTGACCACTCATGGAACCTGGAACAGGCATCTGAGACCAGAGATACTGACCAGGAAGCCCTTAGCCTAACCCCAGCTTCTTCTCTGTCTGACATCCATGCTACTTTTTTGAAGTCGTGGGGCTCATCCCCAACCCCAGTAACCTGTCATCCAAGGGGCCTTAGCAAGCCTTCAGTGGAAGTATGTTTTCTGTCTGCATCTAAGGACGTGGTAGGTGTCGGATGAAGATGTGGGCAAAACAGCAGACAGGCCTAGCCACTTACAAGTGGGTGGCCTTGTTGCTTAGAGGCATGGGCCACAGCTGGCCTCATTGGAGACTTC